GTCTCTCTCTCTCTCTCTCTCTCTCTCTCTCTCTCTCTCTCTCTCGCTCTCTGCTTTTCTACACCAGCCGTCGAGTTTATATTAATCGGTGACCGATTCCCTTCCTCCAACTGCTCCTTTGTAGGGGAATACAAGATGTTAGTTTGTTTTTATTTAACTATATCTGGTGGTAAGGTTTGGATACTCTTGAGTTTGCAACTTTGATTTTAGATGCAAAATGCACTTCTCAAAGGTGTTAATTGTTTTGGTCTATCAGAAGATTAATACTGTTCAAGAATATTTGTAAATCTTTTCACTTCAATTGATGCGGATGACATAATTTAGGAGGTGGCTTGCTTCAAATCAAAACAGAATACATCACCCCCACGAGACGGGCAGAAATACATGTTTTCTGATGGAATAGATTACTTTATAGGGAACCAAACCCCAGTCTTTTTTATACTACGGCAACACTTTGACCACTGCACCTCCCCCCAACCCCTCCCAATAAAATAAAACAAAATATAAAAACCCCACCCCTCCAAAAACAAAATGTTATTCCATCCACGTCTTCCCACTTTTCTGTGACTCTTTCTTCAGTGCTTACGTGACCTAATTGTCTTGCAAGTGCTGTAATATTTTTCCAAATCCCCCACCCCCCACCCACCGCAAACAAACAAAAACAAACAAAAACAAAAAACAAACAAGCAAAAAACCAACAAAAAACAAAACAAAGCAAAACAAAACAAAACGTCTAAACTAAAGAAAAAAAAGTTGTTTTGAAGCTGGGTCCTAACTTTCTGTTTCTTGTTTCCCCTGTCGTTCCAGACTGCAGCAGCAGCAGCACCAGTCGCACAAGCTCAACTCGTCGTCCAGAGAAGACACCGTGTCCCCATCCAGCAGCAACACCGACCGACGTGACCACGACAATGACCTTGAGGACGACGACTGCCTCAGCGACCTTGACAGCGAGGTCAGTGACCCGTCTCACGTGGACGAGATCGACCCGGTGTCCGACGGCCCCCGGACCTCACCCCCGCCCAACCCGCTCATCACCAACAACCCGTTCCTGCCCCCTCACCTTCAACACCCGGTCAAGGTCGATCGATCCGCGGCATTTGACCTCGTGAGGCCGCCCCTGCCACCACCCCCTCCCCCTCCTCTCCCTCTCCCCCTCCCCCCTCCCCCCCCCCCCCCCACCCCCCATTTTCAAAAAAAATAAAACACCCCTCCCCACCTACACCCTCCATCCTCCCCCGCCCCACCACTTAGGCCTGGTGCAACAACCTCCTCTAGCCCCAACGTCGATGTCGCCATCGTCCTCGTCCTCGTCGACCGCACCATCCTCAACAGCTGAAGGGCCAAGAGATTCGGACGTAGGCACCGCCCCCTCCACACCCACTCTCCCTACACCACGCCCACTTTTTAAACCCCACGAGCTGGCCGCTTCCCCTGAACGCCTCAGCAGCTCAGTGATTCGCCCAGAACCGCAGCAGCCACGCCCAGACCGCTCGCCGCTCAGTGATCACTCTCCTGGGGCGGAGTTTATCAAGCGGGAGCCGCCTCCCCACCCCGCGTTCCCACCACATCATGAGATGTTAACCCACTTCGCGGCGGCAAGGGCGGAGTTTCTGCACCGAGACGTGGTCCCCAGAGACTACAGCACCCGCGAGAGGGGCGTGGCTATTGACTTTAATCGTGATTTACGCATGGAGTTCAGCAAAGCTCACGAGCTGATGAAGCAGGAGTACAGCAAACAACACGAGCAGTTCTCACAGGAGGCGATGGGCAGCTATGCCAGGCAGAATGGGGTCATGGGATCCGCTTCGTGATGAGACCCCCCCCCCCTTTCCAGAAACTCTAGCACACACTTCAAGAGCCAAGTGTTTGACAATACTTATTTCCTTGAAAGAGTAAAACGGCGTTAAAGCTGATGTTGACTGCAGACGAACGAACAACTCTTGATGTCTCATATAAAGGAAGCAGAGCATGAATGCGCGCTGAGGAAAGAGTTGGAATCTTGTGTTTGAATTCACGCTAGAGTGGAACGAGCATCCTCCTTTTTCTCCAATCCTTCATGGCTTTCCCAGAACAGCTTTTACGGTGAAACTGTCGTGCTGGTTCGTCAAGTCTGGAGGGAAGAGAATGGCCAGATTCCGTTTCTCCGAGACTCTGGCAACCTTAGCGATCCAGATTGCTGAGGCTAGTCATGTTCACCGATATACACACATAGACACAGATGCCACGTTACGTCCCTTGTTGGGATAAAAAACTCGGACTCAATTCCACAAGAAGCTGTGAAATAAAAAAAAAACACTTAATAGACGTCACCGTTTTGTGGATTTTCCGTCTGGGCTGTATTCTCGATTCTAATTGGTTTGGATCAGACAGTTCGTGTTTTTAACAGTTTTCGTGCCACGATTTACCAACACTAAATTGGTCACCTGGCGAAAGGCAAGACACGGGAGAGTTAAAGGTTTATTTCTGACATTGAAGCAAGGACGAACGAACCAGTGTGTGTGTGTGTGTGTGTGTGTGTGTTTG